GCGCTTGCCTTGCGTGCATGAGGCCCTGGGTTTGATTCCTCAGCACCACATAAGCAAAAAGAAAATAAAAGCCGGAAGTGGCACTGTTACTCAAGTGGTAGAGCACTAGCCTTGAGCTGAAGAGCTGAGGGACAGCATCTAGGCCCAGAGTTCAGGCCCCACGACCGGACTCCCCGCCCCCAAAAAAAGAAGCAGTTACTGGGTGAAGTAGCTCATACCTATAACCTTCATCTTCTTAGGATATAGAGATTGGAAGGATCCTAGTTCAAAGCCATCCCAGTTGTAAAGTAAGTGAGACACCCCCCCCCAATAAATAACCTATGTGATGGGCAAATAACTGTAATCCCAGATATTCAAGAGTCACAAGTAGTAGGATTGTGGTTCAAGGCTAACTTCCAACACTGTGAGATTCAATCTGGAAAATAAAGTAGAAGAAGAAAAAGAAAGGATAGCTAAATTGCTGTACTTCTCACATGCCCTGGGCATTGCTATTGGTGTTTTGCCTCACTCACTCAGCAGTAAGGGGATGGAGATTTCATCTCTACTGTTGTTTTTTTTTTTTTCCCTTCCTTTTTGACTGAGAAAGCTCAGATCTGGATTAAGATCAAGAGACCAATTTGGAAATAAGCAAAAACTTACATGTCACCCTAGAATTCATGTTGACCTGAATTCCCAGAATGCTGGTCAGGTCAAGAGGACTAAGGAGAGCAAGAACTAAGATAAGAAGTAATGATGGGCTGACTCACACCTGTAATCCTAGTTACTCAGGAGGCTGAGATCTGAGGATCATGGTTCAAAGCCAGCCCAGGCAGGAAAGTCCATGAAACTCTCATCTCCAATTAACCACCCGAAACCCAGAAAAGTGGTGTTGTGGCTCAAGTGGTAGAGCTCTATCCTTGAGCTGAAAAGCTGAGGGACAGAGCCCAGCCCCAGAGTTCAAGACCCCAGACTGACCGAAGAAAAAAGAAAAAAGGAAAGAAAGGAAGGAAGAAGGAAGGAAGGAAGGAAGGAAGAAGGGAAGAAAGGAGGGAAGAAAGCAAGAAAGCAAGCAAGCAAGAAAGAAAGAAAGAAAGAGAAAGAAGGAAAGAAAGAAAGGAAGGAAGGAAGAAAGGAAGAAACTGATGGCCTCAAGTCCCAGGAGGAGTTCTTTCACTCTGTAGATAGATGAGAACTTACTTCTTCTAAGGTTCACATCTGCTGGCTTTTCTGTTACCACGTACTCAACTTCTTTCAAATGCTTCTTTTTACAGGTTCATGCTCTGGCACACGTACTTAAATTCAGTGTTTCTCCTAATATGGTGTAATTATTTTGTACTTAATACAAAAGGGATATCCTTTCAGAAATATGAGTCCTTTTTGGTGTTTTTCTCTAATGAATGTCTGCGTTTCTTCCTTTCAGACCCTAGAACAAAATACACAACAGATTAAAATACGTGCTGCCATTTTGCTGTGTAAAGCTATCAGGAGAGATGCGCCACAGGCCTTTGGTCTCCTTTAAGAAAGAATTCAGAGGCAGACACGGAGAGGAAGGCTAGCAGAGCAGATGTATTTAAGCGAAGCTATTGACTTAGAAGAGAATGCCAAGGCAGTGGCACACCCTCACAACAAACAGTGCAGCAGCCTGACCCCAGAGCTGTGGATCCCAAGCTCCCAGGCTAGGTACTTCTGTGGATAAGGTTTGATGACTGTGCTAGACATGTATGCTACTGTGGAGTTACCTTACCAAAAAAAAAAAAAATCAGAGGGCATTTCCAAGAACTAAGGTATCCTCAGAGTCAAGATGGCAATTTGAGGGGAGGTGTCTACAAAAATCTTAACTGTAATGGATATAAATGAGGCCCCTAGCTATGGAAAAGCACTGCTAGGGTCCTTACTAGGGACTGTTGACTGTTGTGCCAAGAAGGAGTCACAACTGATGTCAAGCTTTATTCCAGGACAATGCAGGCAGGATGTTTGGCAAAGTATGGGCAGATACAGCGTTGTACCCTTCCCCTGCTCATTGGGTTATAATAAGTCCTGCCTGTCTGTCCACCCTATATCCACAGTCTCAAGTGGGATGAGGGGTGCTGTGGCTGAGCACAGAGCTTGGAACTCACAAGTAGAGGATTGAAGATTACATGTGCAAGCCCAGGACACCAAGGACAATTCACTTTGTCACCATGTTGTTTGCTGGAGGTCCACAGCAGTCTCGGCCACATGAGATCTCTCTACACGGAGAAGCTGGCATTCCTGACCTGGGCCTTGGTCAAGATGCCAGGGGATAGCAGGCACTGGTGTTCACTCCTGCAATCCTAGCTACTTAAGAGGCTGAAATTTAAGGATCGTAGTTCAAAGCCAGCCCATGCAGAAAAGTCTGTGAATCTTATTTTCAATTAATTAGCCATAAAGACAGAAGTGGAGGGGTGGGTCATTGGTAGAGCTCCAGACTTGAGCAAAAATGCTAAGGGACAATGTCTATGTACTGAGTTCAAGCTCCAATAGCGGTATGGGAGAGAGTGCACGCACGCGCGTGTGCACGCACATGCACACACATAACACACACATATACAGACACCCACTTCAAAAAGTAGTTTGACTGGGGGTTAGGAGTGTTAGAAATGGCTCAGGATGTTGGGGTGTCATGTGTAAATAAGGGCACCAACTCAAAAGGAACTTGGCAAGCAAAATATACTTCAGAAGGGCAGACCTTTAGTCAAAACTCTGGCAAACAAACACACACTGTGGGCTGGCTGTTTTTTGGTTTTTTTTTTTAATCTATAATCCTGTTGGCCCTGCCCCTCTGCTCAGATTGGCTGATCTCAGGATCCCAATCTGCAAAGGGATGTGGCCTAATTAACAATGTAACTAAAATCCAAGGAACTTCTAATGGGTTGTAAAGTGCAGCAGGAGAAGGATGCAACTCAAATGAAATCAACAAGGGCTAAGCCACCTGGCCAAAGCAAGACTTTTTCAGAAAAACAATGATCCCAAGATTGACAGAAAATAAGTGATCTATTTTGATAGAAAAGACACTTTTCTCACAGGAGAAATAAGAATACGTTGAAAGAAGTATATAGGAACTTCTGAGATACTGGAGATTTTCTCCTAGATTTTTTTTTTTTTTTTTAAATTTTACCCAGTCTTGTGCATTCTAGGCAAGCACAGTACCAATGAACTGCCCTTTACTTCTCTTGCTTTAAGTTGCATATATATATATATATGTATATATATATATTCTCTGAAAATTATATATATGAATGTTTTACCATGAATTTAATTTAATTTGAAAAACACTATTTCTGAAAATATGAAGTTATAATGCTGTTTCACACAATGATTTTTGCTGATAGCCAGTGGATCTTGATTTTATAGGAAAGGGCGCCCTCTTTAGGCAACATATTCAATTTTGTTGCTGTACAGAAAAATGAAGATTTAAAAAAAAAAATCAGAAACGTCTCACATTAGATGACTCAGAGACACTTTGTGGGGTGATTTTAGCCTTAGAAATCTCTGGGAAGGGGCTGGGAAGGTGGCTCAGTGGTAGAGCGCTTGCCTTGCATGCCTGAGGCCCTGGGTTTGATTCCCCAGCACCACATAAGCAAAAAGAAAAAAGCTGGAAGTGGCTCTGTGGCTCAAGTGGTAGAGCGCTAGCCTTGAGCTGAAGAGCTGAGGGACAGTGCCCAGGCCCAGAGTTCAGGCCCCACGAACGGACCCCCCAAAAAAAAGAAATCTCTGGGAAATCTATTGCTCTTGCTAGCTATGTCCTTTGCCATGCAGAAACGCTGCAATTTCATGCAATGCCATTTGTCCAACCTTTCTTTGATTTGTTGTTTCTGGGTCTCTATTAAGAAAATTCCGGCCTGTGCCAACGAGAATTAGGGTTTCTCCTATTCTATCCTGTAATGTTTTCAGAGTGTCTGCTTTGACTGCGAGGTCTTTGATCCATTTGGAGTTGATTCTGGTGCAGGGTGATATGTAAGGATCTAGCTTTAGTTTTCTACAAGTGATTAACCAGTTTTGCCAGCGCCATTTACTGAAGAGGCTGTCTTTCTTCCATTCTATTTTTTTAGCTCCCTTATGGAAGATTAGATGGCTATATGTCTGTAGGTTCAAAGGACATAGCTAGCAAGATCAATAGAAAGCCCACAGATTGGGAGAAGATCTTCATTAGCCATACAACAGACAAGGGTCTCATATCTAAAATATACCTGGAACTCAAAAAATTAAATCCCCCAACAACAAATCTTCAAAGAAACAACTGCCCAATAAATAAGTGGGCTATAGACTTAAAGAGAAACTGGCCAATAGACACATGAAGAAATGCTCAACCTCCCTAGCCATAAAAGAAATGCAAATCAAAACAACATTGAGATACCACCTCACCTCAGTTAGAATGGCTATAATCAATAACAACAGATGCTGGAGGGGATGTGGACAGAAGGGAACCCTACTGCATTGTTTGTGGGAGTGTAAATTTGTTCAATCACTTTGGAAAGTACTATGGAGGTTCCTCAAAAGACTCCACATAGAGCTCCCCTATGACCCAGCAATCCCACTTTTGGGCATTTACCCGAATGATCACAAACAAGACCACACTAAAGCTACCAGCACAACTATGTTTATTGCAGCATTATTTACCATAGCTAAGATATGGAACCAACCCAGATGCCCCTCAGTAGATGAATGGATCAAGAAAATATGGTATATATACACAATGGATTTCTATGCCTCCATCAGAAAGAATGACATTGCCCCATTTGTTAGGAAATGGAAAGGCTTGGAAAAAATTATATTAAGTGAAGTAAGCCAGGCCCAAAGAAACATAGGTCCCATGGTTTCCCTTATTTGCAATAACTAGTATATGTATTAGTCAAGCAGAAAAGGTCAGATAAGGTGATGTTAGGCAAAATGAACACCAAGATAAGGACACAAGTGTTTTCTTTATTTTTTGGGGGTGCAGCGAGCTTCATTGGGGTGCGGTGGTGGACACAGGGCTCGGGGCCGCTCCCCGGGGTGGGGTGCGGGCTGGCAGCGCTGGGGGGAGCAGGGTTCTCGTGTCGGGCCGCGGGGCGGCCGCTCACTCCTTGGAGGCCACGTGCGCTCTCAGGCCCACCAGGCGGTTGCCGTAGCCGTACTCATTGTCGTCCCAGGAGATGAGCTTCACGAAGTGGTCCTTGAGGGCCGTGCCGGCGCCCGCGTCGAAGGTGGACGAGTGCGCGTCGCTGTTGAAGTCGCAGGAGACCACCTGGTCCTCGGTGTACCCCAAGACGCCCTCGAGGGGGCCCTCGGACACCCGCGTCACCACCTTCTTGATGTCATCGTACTTAGCGGCCTTCTCCAGGCCGCACGTGTTTTTTTTTTCTTTCATGCGATTGTTTCTAACACATTTATAAGATGATTTCTTTGTTGCTTTGTATGTCCCTCCCCACAGTATAATCCCTGCTTTCACTGTATTTGATGTCGGTATAATTTGTGGAGGGGAAGGGGAAAAACAAATCGTTTAAATAGGGACACAGGTGGACCCGTTGCAATAATGAGACGTACAAGACGTTATGTGGAAAAACAAACTTTACAGCTTTGGCAGGGCAGGGAGGGGGGGAGGCTGGGGGTGGGCAAGGGGGAATGGGAAGGGATGGGAGGGGGAAACAAAGGAGGAGGCTACAATGCTTGATAAGAAATGTACTCATTACCTTGCCCATGTAATTGTAACCCCTCTGTACGGTATTTTCACAATAAGAAATTTAAAAAAAAAATCTCTGGGAAAGGATGTTTTGGTTGGTCATGAGCCTTGAACTCAGGGCTTGGGCTCTATCCCTGAGCCTGTCTACGCTCAAGGCTAGAACTCTACCACTTGGTCACACAGCACCACTTCCAGTTTTTTCTGTGTATGTGGTACTGAGGAATTGAACCCAGTGCTTCATGCATGCTAGGCAAGTACTTAACCACTAAGCCCATTCCCAGCCTGTGGGAAAGGATTTTTCTACATCCATTTAATGATATGACAGTTTTTAAACACATTTTGTTTTTCTTTATATTTCTGTTCTCTTTTCAGTATGTAAAAGCCTTTAGGCTCCTTCCTTAAAAGGACCTATTTTTCTCTGTAACATCAATGCTGGAAAAGGCTGAGCCACTTGCTTATTGCTAGAACTTGTGCATTCTCACAAGTATTTCTGAACTCTGTTTCTATTCATAGAGGAAACATTGAGCCAGATCTAAGATCTGACAGGGATCAGCAGTTATGCTGAATATTTAATGCAAGCCTCCATTTACTGCATGTATTACACTGTAGCCTATAAAAATAATTTCAGCAGAAATTACCACTTATTACTAAGAACAAATATAGGTGAGATATGGCATTTAATATCTTGGAATTAATAGGCTCATTTTTGTCATTGGCGTATTTTCATTAGTAGTATTTCCTTTTTTATTGATTAACTAAAGAGGCATTTGTTTATATATCAAACACAAAATTTATTTTTATATCATCTCAGAGCACTATGAAAGTCTATTTATTCAAAGAAGTTAGATTTTTATGTCATATGTTAATTGAAAATTGGGGCTGGGAGTATAGCACAGGGGCAGAAGTATTTGCCTGATACACAAGGCCTGGATTTCACCCCCAGCACCACAAAAGATAAATAAAACAAACCAATTACAGAGTATTTTACTAGTTTATTATTTTCCTTTTTTGTGATCATCTGAAAATTTGTATAAAGTCTTTTGTTGGTATACATAATGTATACATAAAGTATACATAATGTATACCTTATGTATACTTTTTTATTATGAATCAAAGAACAGATACTGAAAAAGCAAGAATTAGATTCCTAGTTTTTGAAAAGCAGGTTTTTAAGGCCACCATGTCAATGTTCTTTTCATAGCTCAGTAAGTTAGTTGAGTTTTAAAATAATCACTTGCAATGAGCTCTTCAGTGGGAACTTGTTAAACTCATTGTTTGCCACGGGGAAGCTGGGAGGCACTGTTACACAGTGGAGGACTGGGGAGTTACAGGAAGAGATAGAGAACTGGGTCCTTGGTCATTGGGCGAATTACTCGGGATACAAATGGGATTAACAACACAGCAACCTTACACAGTAGTCATCATGAGGCTTAGAAGAGATGTGAAATGCTTGGTGACAGCTCTTGATGATTATTAGCCTATCATGCCTGTTTTTATCAGTAGTCATATTTTATCATTAGCTGCATATTTATTAAATATATGTATTATTAAATATACATTCTACTAGTTGTATAATTTATGCTGTATGCATTTTTTCTTTTTTTGGGGGGGGTGGAGGAGAAGACATTCAAATTTTATTTTCCAACAACATCAGCAGGTACAAACCCCAGGGACTTTCCTCGGGCCCCACATCCATTGGCAGGCGTGTTCAGCTGGGTTGGGCAGTGAGGAGCGCCTCAGGGTGCTGGGTCCCCTAGAACGATGCTCATTTCACAAGGTAAACAGGTGAGTCCCAGTATTACAAACACTGACAATTCTAGAAGGAAAGGCACGACGTGGCAAGAAACAATCTTTTGGATCCTAAAGTCAGGTGCAGTATGGAAGAGACAAAACTTGGGGTGCAATCTTTGTCCTCATTCCAATATGGGGGAAAATTCGACACAGTGGAGGAAGACTCCCCCCACTCATACCCCCAGGCTGGTTCCTTCATCCTCATAAAACCATTAGGTCAACCTCCCATCTATACATCCAATATTGTCCTGTGTACAAAGGAGGACAATAATAATACAGCAATCAAAGATTTCACAAAGGTCTTAACTGTTTCCACCCATACAATCAACTCTGAGCTTTTCAGATAAAGCCCGGGAAGACTTCATTGGTTATTGAAGAGGAAAATAAGAGACTTGTAGCTACAAAAAAAAAAATAGTTTTAAAAATGAGGTAGATAAATCAAAGCTATTTTGCAGCCTCTTCACACAATTCTCAGGGCGGGGGGGGGGGGGGGGGGGGGGGGGAGAGGGAGAGGGGGAGGGGGCAAACTTCATGAATTACTAGGCTTAAGTTACACCAAGGAAACACAACAACAGTTGCACGTGAGCCTCTGGGATGAGGAACATGCCTCTCCAGGAGAAAAGTCCAGGATTCAACAGAACAGGCTCTATAGAACCAGCTGAGCTGCCTCCCCATAGCGGCTTCTCTGCTCTGCTATCTGGCGAGACAAGGCTGCTGGGGATTGTGGGGGAACAGCAGGCACTCTTGGGGCTCCACACATACTTAAATAAGCAGCAATTGCATGCATTCTTCATCTGACATCCACCTCCTTAATTTTTGCTACATACCTTAATCCTCCACGTTTCCCCATATCCCTAGCAGAATGGACAGCAGGGTACCATACTTAATTCCTTGGTGTCTAAGTTTCCTTATTTGTAATCAGATGGAGGAAAAACTTTAAAGTCCCTTTCCACCCTAACTTTCCATGTGCTCTCTGGTTGAAGTGATAGAACAAAGCAAAACAAAGCAAAAATAAAAACAAAACTCTACTTCTCCTAGGGATGTTTTTAGGTCTAGATGATTTGTATCAGTTTCTTATCAGTGATTTACTCCTTTACTGTGCTGTGAAACATATTGAACTGGGAAACTGGAGATTTACAAAATGCTAGGGGTGGTCACAGGGAGATTGAAAAAAAGCAACAACAACAAAACACCCCAGCCTCTGAGGGCCACTGGGTTCCTCTCACACATACTGAGAACCCAGGCAAGCTAGTATCTGTAGATGAAACTTGTTCCTGTAGTCAGCCATTCTTCCCAATTCTAGTCATACAAGGCCAAAGCAAAGCTAGCAAGGTAATGATGTCACTGCTTACATAGTCTAGGTTAGAAAACCCTTCTCCCCTTTATAGCAAGCAGTGATTAAAAAAAAAAAAAAAGTAGCACTTTTCTCTGTCTCTGTCATCTGTCTAAGTTTCTATAAATCTCGTGTTTTTTACACGAGTCCTTCCTGAGTATTCTGACTTCTTAACAACCTACCCCACTGCACTAGTTTATCTGAACTTTTGTCCATGGTCAAGAGCTGTGGCCTTGGGCAGGAGCAAGTATGAGTCAGGTGTCTCATTTCTTCTTCCACAAGAAAAAGGAAAGAATCTGTCCTCTTCAGCTTCCATACTAGGAGTGAATCTACAGCCTACTCACCACCAGGAGGCTCCACAATTAGGAAGAAGTTTTACATACCCAAGAGGAAAAATAAAAAACCAACTAGTAACCATGCAAACAACAACAAACCCCTAGCACATTAGAGTAAGAGTTCTTGGGTATCTGGGCCACTGTTAGATGTAGGTTTTAGTTGTATCCTAACTCATAGCGGGGAGCTTGAATAAATGCGAAGTCTTCTGCAGTTTTCTACTTCTCTGATTTATTTATCTGGGCATGTGCAGATGCACGTTTGTTATATAAGCTATACCCATCAATCAGCAGGTCCATCAGAATTCCCACCAAAGGAAGGGTAGCCAGCACTTAAGCTAGAATTGTTCAAAATCCTTGATAAACAAAGCCTGGTGCGCTGGAGTCTTGCTTGAGCCTGCAGTGTTCTCTGAGAGGTACATTTTATCTCTTGCAGTATATCTTAATTTCTCTTTAATAAACTATCCTTTTCATTATGCTTCATGTCTTGCTTGGATTTTTCTCTAGGAAGGCAAAAAAAAAAATTCAAAGCTAAGCTATGTAAAATTCTGCTGACTTATTATGAGGTTTAGCTGTATGCTTTTCCTGTAACACTATCTCTAGTCCTGACTGGATCCTGACAGATACAACATTGATATATTGTAGCATTCTTTGGGTCTTCAGCTGATTTTAAGGCTGTCAGATTCAGAGGGGGCTTCCTGTCACCTGAGAACACTTCTATTCAAGTGGAAACTCATAATCTTCTGATCTAATCCTCTCTCCTTCCTCCTAAATTTCCCAGCCAAACAATGGGTTGCTGTCAAACAGAATATGGATGGAATAGGCCTGGCATTTTTATGCCTGAACCGTAAAAAATCACTTCTCTCTCCTTGCTCTTCTGACTGTCCCTCAGCAGTCCAGACATGTTGCAGGTATCATGACATTCACCTGCCAGGGCCCTTAAGTGTCTCAGAGGAGCAGCCTCTTTAGGTCTTTGCTATAAAATGGGAATAAGAGACAGGCAGCAATGGTTTGCACCTGTAATCCTAGCTACTCAGAAGGCTGAGATCTGAGGATGGAGGTTCAAAGCCAGCCCAGGCCTGAAAGCCTGTGACATTCTTATTGGTAATAAATTACCAAAAAAAGCTGGAAGTGGAGCTGTGGCTCAAGTGGTAGAATGCTAGCCTTGAGCAAAAAGAGGGGGGGGGGAAGGAAGGAAGGAAGGAAGGAAGGAAGGAAGGAAGGAAGGAAGG